GCGGGGAGCGCGGGCCGGAGCGGCGGCGTTTCCCCGCCAGCCCGGGCTCCTGCGCTGAGGGACGGACGGGCGAGCGCCGAGCTGCGGCTGAGCCCTGGGACGTGGGCAGGGTCGGCGCGTTTGAATTTTACAGTTGAGCTGTTACTGGCACGTGGGAATTTTTCCTCTCTCCTCCCTTTATTCCTTTTCCTTCCCTTCGGAGGGCGGTGCTTTCCCGCAGCCTTGCGCTGGAGATGCGCCCGGACACGCCGGGAGCTTGCGGAGCGCGGCTCCCGGTGCCGCCGGCAGCCCGGCCTGAAGGTGCGGACGGTGGGGCCATCAGCGGCCGAGTGCATGAACTCGCTCACCGAGAAACAGCGTTTAAAATGAGTGAAGCACTGCAGTTCAATCACCCCACAAAATTCTAATACGTGAGGTGATCCCCCCATTTAAACTACTAAGTGTAGGTATTTGCCTTAATTATTAACACACCTCTCCGTCCCTGAACTCCTTTGCTCCCCAGACCCCTTCCAACAGCAGCACGGCAGTTCGTGCCTTGCAAATGCAGCAGCTCCGCGTTCCACTCACGCTCCACCTCCTTCCCCTTCCGCCAGCTGCTGCGGGACATCCCTTCCTTACCCCATCAGGGAACTGCCGCGTGCAGAGGTGCCAAGGGAAATGTAGCACTCGTTTGGTTATTGCCTTTGTAAGGGGTCAGGCCTGAATGCCTGTAAATCAGGAGCAGAACTTGCAAAGAAGCAGCTGCCTGTCTCGGTATGAACAAGAAGATGCAAAAGACTTAGGGAGACGTGGAGCAATGGACTGAGTAACTAAACTGTTCTCTACAAGTAGCCTAAATTCTTTCAAAAGGACTCTATGTTATCTTCAGTCAGAAGTTAATGCGCTGGTGGCTCTACAAGCATGTATATCTTCAAAAAAAAGGAGTTCTTGGATTATACAAAGTAAATTAGTACCACTGAAGATGAGGGTTGTTTTAAAACAAGTCTCACAGGCCTTCCATACTCAGGGAAAGAACATCAGCTCGTCTTCCTTTTTTCCCCAGCTGTTATACCACCTTTCTGTCCCCTTTTATGTTAGCTACAAATGCAGGTTTACCTTGTAAGTATTTCCAAGGCTGCTGCAAGTATGCATTCCGTTTTAACCTTCACTTCTCAGTACACTATTGCTTTGCTCGTATCCCAAATTGTCACAATATAAAAGCTGGTGAAAGGTTCCTGCTAATAAATTCCTTCTTCTTCTACCTCATCATCAAGTGTTCTCCAAGTTAGTCTAGTCTAGTCCAAGTCTCAAGATACCAGTACTGAGCTTTGCCCTAATGATGAGATTAGGAAATACTTTCCTATTAACTATTAGAAATAGCAATAAATTTACTTGTGGAGATCTGGAATTTCCTTCTCTCCACTCATACTCAGCACTCCCATTTTAACAAACTACAAGATGTAGTTTATCATGGCAAGATTCTCACAAACTGAAAGGCTGTTTTTAGATCCTGTAAAGAGATTTCCAGAACTCTACATATAAATTCTGCCCTTCTGTTTATAGCTGGAAGGACAAGTGTACCAGCGTGGGAAAAATGGTCCTGTAGCTTTTAAGAACAAGATTTCAAAATTAGAATGAAGTCTCCCTCATCCCTCCATAGAAGTTATATGTAATTTTAAAAATGGTGAGTCATTATGGTGTACTTTATTATTTTTTAGGAGAAATATACCACTCAGTTATACTTTATATTTTAAGCTTGCATAGAGAAAATATTAACATCACCCACATGTTAGACATGCACTCAGTCCTGTTCTTGAATTTCCATCAGAGCTGACATTGTCATCAGAGCAAGTGGGACTGGGCCTGAGTGGATTATTTTGGGGTTTTTTTTTGGTGTTAGTGTAAATGAGCTTTGTCAAATACAGGAACAAAGTCACAAGTCTCCCTTGTTTATCGAGACAAATTTTTTGGTCCAGGTCAGTGATAATAGTTAAATAATCTTGCACAACCTTGTTTCATTTTTGTGGTTTTCTTTTTTTTTTACTGGAAGCAATTACATAATTTCAGACAGAAAAGGTACTTTCAGGTTTGTAAGTATCACAACTACCTCATTTTCAATTGTGTTCTCTTTATCCTGAATGAGATGATCTGCTTAACTTACATTATTTTCCATTAACAGCTTGACAAAAAAATACAGCAACAAGGAAAAATAAAGATGTGAAAGCTGCTCATTGAAAAGGTGTTTAAAATAAAACTTTGTCCCCATCCAAACAGCAGCAGAACTTAACCCCTTAATAATCTCTGATCTTCTTGCCCTATGCACCCCATTTTGCTCCCCATGCTCAGAACTCCAGTTTGTTTCCTAGACACATTTAAAAAGCAAGGGGTAAAAAGGTTTAATTTAAAAAACTTAAAGCATCAATTGGAAATAAAAGTTATTTTTAGGCGTCTTAATAAGTGTTTAAGAATATATATTCTCTGTAAGCTCTAGATGCCTCAGATTTAGCTGTTTTATTGGGGAGTGAGGGTAGGGGTGTTCTTCCCTGGTTTATTCCTTAAAATCTGCTGCAGGAAATTGTAGTCCTCCATTAGTCTGCAGAAACCAAATTTCTACTTTTCATATGCACACACCCACCAGCATTGTTTTATCTCCACTCTCTGTTCTTGCCACTGCAAAATTCCTGTTAGCAGTTTCAGGTGCCAAGCACACCTGACTGAAAGAACAAAATGTCACGGGTTTTCTCCTGACAAACCCAGCTTCTGCTGTCCTCAAAGCCTTCCTTTCTCTTGGATTCATCTGACTCACACATCTGCTTTTCTTAGCACCGGAATGTGCAGGGAAAACCTCAGGATTCAAAGAGATGGCAACTTCAAAGCCAGTACAAACAGTGTAGTAGTTCTGTGCAGAAATCATTTGGACAAATTATAAAGCTACAGGTTACTGAGAACTCACCTCCTTTCTTTCTGGTGCAGTGTTGCAAAAAAAGTAGTGCCATCCACATTTACCTGAGCCCCCTTACTATGCACAAGAAAAAGAAGGCAGTAGAAGAAAGGAGAGGAGGGAAAAAGAAGACAAGATGCATGCTCTCAAAGACTTTTCTTACCTCTGAACTTCATTGAGCTTTTACATATAGTTGGCATGAAGTACTACAGAAGATTGTATGTGCTGGGTTCTTGTTTTAGGGTGAAGATGTACATCAGTGTAAGTAGTAGGAAGTTCTGCAGGCAGGTTACTGCCAATATGTGCATTAATGGCATACAAGGATCATTTGAAAAATCATGTTTTGTTTCAATTAACCCCAAATAATACTAAGCTGAATGAGAAGCGCTGACCTTCTCAGTTTCAGAGGCTCACAGAAGAGGAGAGCTGAGATTGCAAGGGATCTCTAGATAAATTCTTGTCCAAACCCTAGCTCAAAAGTGGGGTCAAATGGAGCAAATTGTTCTGAGTTGTGTTCAGCCAAGCTTTGAATATCTCCAATAATGGTGACTCCACAGCCTCTCTGGGCAGCTTCTTCCCATGTTTGACTGAAAGAAGTTCTTCCCTTACATTTAACGAAAACTTTGTGTATTGCAATTTGTGCCTGCAGCCTCATGTCCTTTCACTGGGCACCACTAGAAGAACATGGCTATTTTTAATTTTTTTTTATTTTAAATTTTATTTGTAATTTTATTTTGCAATTCCTAGAATGCTTAAAGCATTTGTTAAATTCAGACCACCTGCAGAGAAATCAGCAGTGCTGCTCATAGCACAAGAAGATAACAGGGTGCTTGAGACATTGCAGCACCATGGTTTGGGAGAATTCTTACAACTCATCTCTCAGATATGCTCAATGTAAGTTATCTCCATACATATACATGTATATATACACACATATATATATGTGTGTATGTATTATACACCATATATATGATCAGCAGATAATGGTCAGTACTCAACATAATTAGCCCCTCAATCAATATTATGCTTTTACTCCTGTGCATTTTTAATTCTAGTGGTGAACTAGTAGTTTGCAGCTTCCAGAACCACAGTTGTCACTGCTGTACTAGTCCCACTTTGTGTATAGTGTTGGTTGTGTGATATTTATATGAAAACCTGTTTCTTGTTTCATACTAGAGGACTAATTGTCCTGACCCTTATTTCAGCTGCACCTAGCCCAAACTAGGTAGCTGTTCTTTTGAAAATAATTACTTGGCAAATACAGAAGTCTGCTGTATTTTAAGAAAAGAAAGGTCTCAGAAAAACAAGTTAATCTCTCACAAAGTAGGAATGAATAAACAAAATGATCAATGCTTGGTTTTTACATATTGGAGTGATTTTATGTTTGTTTTCTTTTTCTATAGTCTTATTCCTGCCCTCTTAATTTTACACCAAAACAAATGGATATCCTATTTTTCCTTCTCTTTCTCACACAAACTATTTGTCTACTGTTTAAGAAAGAAAGAAAGATTAGCCCTCCCAATGTATGCCAACACTGATCACTAAATTGATAATACTTACATATGTAGTAAAATGTGTCACATGGATAGCTTTTAAGATATTTTTTGCACTTGTGTAAAGAAGACCACATAGAAAGTCACTTACTGGAGGAAATCAGTAGTTAGTAATAAAGGGTACTCTTGTTAACACTTGTTAAAGACTTAT